CTTCTCATGGTCCAGCTTTGGGACAAGAACAAATTCAGAAAAGATGTAATGTTAGGTGAAATGGTGATGGATATAACTCACTTCAAAGGTACTTCAACGTTTTACACTACGAGGATAGGTAACCAAATTTTGAAGAGGGAATCGCTGATCCTGAAGATATTGGAATATTGAGATCGAAGCGAACGCGAAGGAGGTGCAAGCTCTGCAGCAGGAGATGTTGCTGTGTCAGGTAAAACAGATTTTTCGGAAATTTGGTGGATGTGAAAATTTTATTCAGGTTATGTATTGCCTGCAAAGATACCAGATGTTGCTGCAGATTTCAAAAAACCAAGAAACCTCCGTTTCCAAAGCCAATGGTCAGTATTTATCAAGTGAAGCATTTTATCTACAACCCATCGACATTACAGAAGTACAAAAAACCAGGAGATGAAGTTGACACCATTAATCTCCTTGATACGGAAAGTCTTAGAGGATGGTGGCCTGTGTTGAACAAGAAACATTTCAATAAAAAAGATGATGTAAGATAACTATTGGAATAATTGCACAAAGTATCAAGAGTTCCTTCAAGGATGATGCAGCAAAAAAGAAAGATGATGATTACGATCCCAAACAATTGTATATTATGGGGCTAGTTGAATTAGAAATGTCGTTGGTCACAGCAGCAGAAGCAGAAGCTGATCCAGTGGGGAGGAAAAGAAAAGAGCCAAATCATGTAAGAATTTATCCAAAGTATATGAAGTGCGCGAGGTCTTATTGGAAGACCTCATTGTCAGAACACTCAGTCCTTTGCTGCTAGGTTAAAATAGCTTGTTACAGAATCCTTATCTGCCAAAGCCGCTTAGATCAAAATGGAATATGTTTTGGATCACATCAAGGTAAGAACATTGATTGGCGCTGACTTGCGTTGTTGATATTTAGATGTATGCGCTTTGATATTAACCCACATTAAACACCGATGGCAGGTTCCTCAGATGTTATAAATTTCCTCGAAAAATATTGAGAAGCGCTGGGGTGGCCTGTTCAAATTTCGACGTAGTATCCTTCCGCATATCCTAGTGTCGCCATCGCCATCAAAAGTCATAGAGGGCTTATCAAATGCAGTGTCGAGTGCACCAGCATTTCCGCTCCCGCGCGGCCAACCCTGCATCTCTTTCGCGAGCATACTCTCTATTCACTTTTCCACCGCGAGCGTAAAAAAGGCGGAGCCTCAATCAATTGAAGATGTGGAGGGCATGTTCGCGGAAGAGGTGCAGAATCCCGCGCGGGAGCCGAGATGCTAATGCACCCGATACTGCGACT